AAAAAAAGTAGTTATTTTAGGAGGAAGAAGGTAGTAAAAAACAAAAGTTCTGTACAGCTGAGCATCAGTCCCGTCAACCTAACTATAGGAGTATTATGATTTTTCAAGGTTTAAGTCATTATTGGATAGAGCCCTTTTTCTTTCTTTATGAACACGTATATTTATTTTCTTTCCTAGTAAAAAAATAAAAATAGGAAATATAATGGTAGAGATATGATAACAACATTCTTTTTTTTTTTTTCTCTCTCTCTCTCTTTAGCTATCTTTACATCAATGATTTATATGTTAACTAATGTGACAGGACCCGACATTTATAGCAATCTTGCATGTAAAGGGCGTGTTAAGTGGAAAAATCTCACATCGAGTATAAAAATAAAAAGTTTGTGGGCTAAATATAAGAAATGTCACTCCACCTATTGCCAATTGGTTTTAGATTATGTGCAAGTCTTGTATTGAGCTCATATGCATAATTTTCACGTGGTATTAGACCAAGGGGCTCATTGACAATAAGTCATTGCTGCAACTTCTAGCTATGACAACAAGTTTTTGCTGCACAAAAATCTTGAACATTGACTTCAAGTTTTTGTTGCACTCCATATTTAAACAATGGTAGATGGGGATCAAAAGACCAGATCTGGTACAACAGGGGGAGTAAACACAACCCTCAAACTCATAGATTAGGACTCACCCTACTATCTCCATCCAAGTGATGATCCTGGAAGGATTCTTGTAACAACTTTACTAAATTGGGGACAAATATCACACTTGGAGGAGAGCCATGCAAAGTGCTTTCTATGCCAAGAATAAGATTGGGTTCATAGATGGAACTCTTGAGAAGTCGGAGACAACCTCACCTCAATACCAAGCATGGATGAAGTGCAATTCTATGGTGCTTTCTTGGATCCTTAATACAGTCTCTAAAGAATTGCAAGACAGTGTGGCTTATGCAGAGACATCAAAAGAAATCTGGAATGAATTGCTGGAATGGTTTACTCAAGGGAATGCATCTCGTGTGCATGAACTCAAACTCGAACTAGCAATATCGACATAGCAAACAAGGTCAGTATCTCCTTATTTTATCAAAATAAAACCAATTTGGGATAAGTTACAAGCACATGAACCTGTACCTATTTGCACTTGTGGCTACACATGTGGAGTAGCAAAAGAATATGCAAAGGCTCGAGAGATAGAGAGAATCCACCAATTCCTAATGGGATTCAGTGAAAACTTTTCCACAACTCGATCCCAAATATTAAGCATGGATCCTTTGCCCTCCCTAAATACGGTGTATGCAATGGTAACAAAAGAAGAAAAGTAGCAAATAGTGGCAGCATCCAGGGGTCCAAATATAGAAGCCACAGCTCTTGTAGCAAGGGGACCATCAAGAAAGTCACGATCTGATCACTGTAAAAAGTTGGGGCACACTAAAGAAAGATGCTATGAGATCATTGGGTATCCTGTGAGTTGGAAGTCTGGGATAGGCAAAACCAAGACGAAGGGTGAGGCACAAAAGACAGGACAAGAGAAAGACCATACTTTTGTGGCTAATGTAGCACATAAGCTCATAGAGGAGTTATCAAATTAGTCTCCAATTTTTGGGTTGAGCAAAGAGCAATATGACCAACTCATCTTGCTTCTCGGGGGTAATACGATCCTTAATCACTCAGCCAACCATGCTGGTAAGGCACAAAATCATCTTTTCATTGGATCATTGACAATGGGGCTTCAGCTTACATGACTCCACACTTATTTGTATTTACCAAAGCTAAACCTTATACCTCACCTATTCGTATATCCAATGGAACCTCTTTGGAGACATCACATGTGGGAAAAATAATTTTAACCAATGAAATCACTTTAGACAATGCCTTATGCATCCCAAAATTCACCTGCAATCTTTTATCAGTCAGTGAAATAACCAAACAACTTGGTTGCGCTGTGATCTTCTTTTCTAACTTTTGTGTTTTTCAAGACCTTACCTTGAGGAAGCTGATTAGAGTGGATAGGCTTCATGAAGGGATGTATTATTGCAATTTTGGGCATGTTGTAGCAGCAAGTCAACTAAAACAAAAGTAGAGTGCATCATATTAGTTGTGGTATCAAAGACTTGGGCACATTTCTGCTGAACGTTTATCCAAAATCCCTTCCTTGTGTTCTTGTTCTCCTCAAATAAAGCATGTTTGCGACATTTGCTATAGAGCCAAACAAACTCGATTACCATTTCCTATTAATAATAATACTTTAACTCATATATTTACCATACTTCATTGTGACATTTGGGGTAGATATGCCACTCCTTCTAATATAAGTGCTC